CCTGTGACTGGGCTGTGTCAGTGTGCTGGACTGTTTAACCACACTCTGTTGTGCTGTTTTAATATTTATCTGGGTGTGGACTGATAAGCAAATCTCTGAGGCAAATGTTCTGTGAAGTATAGAGAGAGGGGAAACATGCGGCCTGCCACAGTATTTTTAGAATGATTCAAAGTGGAGTCTCTTTTAAGAGAGAGATACTTCCCTGAGTTCGACTCCGGGTTCCTAAAGTGGGCTCTTCCCCTCTCGCTGGCCTGTAACCAGAGGCGTCCAGGTCATTTCAAACCCAGACATGTCTGTGAGCACTGGAACGAGCAGTGGCCCCCTTCCCTATTCAGGACGGCCTGTCCAGAGCGGTGATGTCATGGCTGTGTTTTGGTCAGCGCGATGGGCGGTTCGGTGAGTCAGCCTGCGGTGTCTGAGCAGCAGGCGCGGCAGGAGAGCGCTGGTGACCCCTGCCTGACCCCGGCGTGGCGTGTCTTCGGGGCGGGACCCCCGAGAGAGAGGGACCCCGCTGTCTGGCTGATGAGGGTGTGGAGGTCGCTGTCCGTGTCCGAGCAGGGGGTCTGTCTGCCTCCCTGCGTTGTGTTTCCGCTCAGCCCCACTCCCAGAATAAGAGCGCAGCCCGGCCTCTCTGTGCGTGTCTGGGGTTTCTGATTCCAATCTCGGCAGCATTCCAGAGGCGCGGAGCGTCCGGAATCTCAGCTGTCCGTCTCCCTTGTGTCCTCCTTGCATTCCCGAGCCCCCTCCCCACAGCTGCAGGGGTCTGGAATTTCAGCGGAGCAGGGAATGAGGAAGAGGGAGCTGGGAGTGAGGGGGGCAGTGGAGAGAGGTCTCCGTCTCTCCGGGATGTGGATGGGAATGCCCCTGGCCTAGCGATCTCGGTCTCGCTGTGGAGATCCTAGCGGGGCTCCGGAGGGGACTGGCCCCTGCTCTCAGTTCTTCCTCGAGAATAACTTTTCTTATTACAGCCAATAATAAATTCGGTTTAGTTCCAGACATTTTCCTATGCAAAGTTACCCAAACTAAGGCAGCAAGAATGAAATATCCTTCCTCCTGTACCAGCCCTCTGTAGGCAGTAAACCCTGGAGCGGACTTTAGCGGACTGGGGCTCTGATTGATAGCACTGTAAAACCCGGAGTGGATCAGGCTGCCATCTTCCAGTGTTGTCCTGCAGCTCTGATATCTTAATTGGTTTTGTTCCTCTCTGTGGTCTGACACACTTACTGTGATGTAGTTAGCCTAATTTAATGAACTAATTTCTGAATCAAAGAAAATTTTGTGAAAAACCGTGTTGATCAAGGTCCAGCCCCTCCAGCCTTCCTGTGGGCCCCCTGTGTCAGCTGTCTGAGTCACAGTGCAGGGTTGTCATTTCAGCTGTTCTGAATTAGTCCAGCATTCCTGCCCAGGAGCTCCTCTCCACCTCTCTCCCACCTCCCACTTCCTCCCTTCCTGTCCCTATCTCACTCGCTCTCCTCTGCAGTATTTAAAGCAGCAGTGTGTTGTAATGACAATGCGGCAGTATACAGTGCAGTGCATTATTCACAGCCTGTTCAGTGCAGCAAAGAAACACGAATCAGTGCTAAAGTCAGTCTATCTGGAATGCCTTTGGCCTGTTTTCAATGTGACTCACCTACAATGCAGTAAGCCTGGCAGTCTCACCTCCTTACAGCTCACACCTGTGGGAATGTGCACATGGCTCTCACCTCCTTACAGCTCACACCTGTGGGAATGAGCACAGGGCTCTCACCTACTTACAGCTCACACCTGTGGGAATGAGCACAGGGCTCTCACCTCCTTACAGCTCACACCTGTGGGAATGAGCACAGGGCTCTGACCTCCTTACAGCTCACACCTGTGGGAATGAGCACAGGGCTCTGACCTCCTTACAGCTCACACCTGTGGGAATGAGCACAGCGCTCTCACCTACTTATAGAAGGGCCACCTGCGATACACGCAGGAATGTGTAATCTGGTATTCCAGTGGATAAAAAGTGTAGAAGTGGAAACTACAGGGGAGATCATTTGAAACTATAAACCAGAGACACATCTTTGCACAAAGAGTGGTCAGGGTCTGGAACACAGGTGGATGTGATCGCTGGATCAGTCGCTAGATGGGTGAAATGGCTTCTTTTCTCTTTCTCTTCTCGATGTAACCTTTCCTGCTGTCTGATTGTGGCGGGTCCGTGGCACTTGTTGGACTAGGGGAGGCGATGGGGCTCTTCTAAGGCTGATAAGTCAGAAGAATGTGGAGAGATGGATAATAAGTACTGAGATGGTTTTTGCTGCATTGAGATGATGGCTGCAGTCAGTCTGGTGCACACCAGGTGGGTGTGTGATTTTTAGAGACAGCCAGCTCATCGTTTGCGGTTTTTAACTGTTGCTTTCCAACGCTGTGTCGATTGTGTGCCACAGAGAGAGAGCGGAGCGAGGCAACGGGGACCGAGTGGCCGGCGTGTGTGTGTGTGCGTGGGGGGGGGGGACAGGACAGGACAGGTGTGCGCCAGCATACAGGCAGGCCGCCGGACAGGCAGGTGGACCAGGAAGAGGTTAATGCTCACAGGGCTGCTGGGAGCGAGAGAGAGAGTTCTGTCGCTGCCTGGATACCGAGAGCGAGTGTGTGGGGGAGGGCAGAGGGAGAGGGAGGGGGGGGCGGGAGACAAGGGCGTGCAGAGGGCAGTCGGGGAGATTGTGGTGACTGGGGCGCTTGAGTTCAGAGGTCATGGGCTGCCAGAACGGGGAACGAGGGGACCCCATCAGAAACAGAGCTGGGAGAGGAGCAGAGGCACAGGACGTTGCCGTGCAGGACTCCCCCGGAGCCCCCCTCCCCCGCCGCCCGCACTGCAGAGTTAGAAGTGGGGCAGGCGTGACCGCCCGGAGGCGCGGGGGGCTGGCCGGGAGAGAGTGTTTGTCTGCCTTAGCGCCACTGTCCTCGGACTCGGGATTTAAAAGTTGGCGGCGGGCCGGCTCAGCGCTCCCCAGGCCGTGACCCCTCGGCGCTCACAAACGCACCGCGTCGCTCGCCCTGTCAGTCTGTCCGA